CGGCGCGAGTGCGCGCACGGGCGGAGCCCATCCCCGTGGCGTCGTGCCCGCCCCTTCCCTCCCCTCCTTCTTTATCCTCCCTTCCCTCTTTTTCATCCTTTCCCTCCTTCCCTGCCAGCGCCCGCTGCCGTTCCCCGCTCGCTGCGGGGAGCGCCCTGGCCGTGCGGGCCGCGGGGTGCGGGCCGCAGCCATGGCGGTGTGGCGTTCCCGTGTGGGGAGCGGGCTTGTACAGACCGGGATGGGGTGGCCGGGGCGCCGCTGCCGTGGCTCGGGGCCGTTGAGCCCGGCTGGAGGGGGTTGGGTGTCGTTGGGGTGAGTCCGCAGCTGGCCACGTTGGATGCACACTGATAAAAGCGGCTGTGAGCACCGCAGGCAAATTCGCGCGGCAGGAATGTCTGTAATAGTGACTGTATAACGTCTATAATAACGTCTATAATATCCATAATAATGTTTGTAAGGTGAGGGTCAGGCTTTTTGCCTGGGCAGGTAGTGACAGGGCATAAAGAGTCATCCTCAAGCTGCGCCAGGGGAGGTTCAGGCTGGACATCAGAGGGAATTTCTATATGGAAAGTGGTGTTAAATGTAGGGTTAGGGGGAAACATTAAACATTGGAGCTGCCCACGGAGGTGGTGGAGTCCCCATCCCTGGGGGTGTTCCAGGAGTGACTGGATGTGGCACTCAGTGCCATGATTTAATTGACAAAGTGATGATCAATCAAAGGTTGGACTCGATGATCCCAGAGGTCTTTTTCAAATTAAGAGGTTCTGTGACTCTCTAATGCTGATGTTTGAACCATTGAACACCATAATCCTTGCCTGGGTGAGAGGATATCTGAGGCAAGGTGGTTTTCTCGGCGTATTGTCACTCAAGAGTGTTGAATTCATTAAGGCCAAACAGCCCAGTTACAGTTAAACACGTGTTTAAGCGCTTTTCTGGAGAGCGGTGGGTTATTTCTGAACCCACACGTTGCAGTCTGCTTTCAGTTAAGAGGGAAGAAAAGGAGACGTGTGTCATTTACTGGCCCTTTAACACAGGAAAATATTTCACTTCCAAAAATTCTAATGGCAGTTGAGAAAGGAAAAGATGAAAAAAACCTGTGGTGTAGTGAAGCCAAGGCCCTTCTTCTCCAGCCTGGAGCTCTGCAGCAGAAATCTGGAGAATTAGCCCTGCCCTCTAAACTCAGGGAGGTAAAACACAGTTAGAAGAGCTGCACACTCACCAGAACAATATTAGGAAACAAATCCAGTTAAATCCCTGGTGCTGATTCTTCCAGATGGTTTTGGCTTAATGTTTTCAGTCTTTTAAACAGTGAATATAAAATAAAATGGGAGAATACAAATCAGCAGTATAACGCTATTTATAGAACTTTCTCGTGGCAGGGTGTTTTTTGTTTCTTTCATGTTGGAGATAAGTTCGTACTTTGCCTCTCAGTGTCTGCTTTGGGAATTTTTGCCTGATATTTTTCAATATATGTAGAAAACACGTATAAATATATTTATACATGTGTGGAAGATACATATATGTGCCTGTATAAAAATCCTTATCTGCTCTGAATAACACCTCTCTGGAACCTGAAAACTGTAGTCTTTACTACAAATTAAGTGTAATCCTAAACAACCCCTTAGCCTCTAAGTGTCTTGGATAATTTTTTTAACTTGTTTAAAGTATGATAAACTCCATTTGGCCAAGTTCCTGACTCCATGCCAGGCTGGGTTTTTGATAGCTTGGAGCTTTCAGAAGCAGCATGAGCAGGAGCATTTCTTTGGGACTGCAGAACATCCCCTCCTGGGCTCAGCACAGACAAAAATTTGGATTAAATTTCACTTGATGGTTATGAATTATCTGTGAGGGTCTTTCTTGCTCCCCCAGCCAGGCTTCCACAGCTGGGATCAGCAGGATGTGACATCTATCCAGACTCTGGGAAAGCATGGAGCTTGGCAGGCTTCTCCCTCATCAAATCTTTCATTCCCTTTGCTTCCAAACAGCCTGAATTTGGGCATGTGCCAAGTGCACTGGAAAAGACACCTGTCTGAGGTGTTTGTGGGAGAGCAGCTTTCCCTGGTGATGAAAGGGAAAGGAAAATGGCCCAGATTGGAAGGAAGTGGCTGCTCCCAGTGCTACTGGGGTCCCTTTGGGTGCCTTTCAGGGTGTCAGGAGCTGAGGCTGAGGCTCCTGCTGTGACCAACATGTGTGGTTTTGTTCCAGGTTGCACTGAGAGCAGAGCTAACCCAGTGCTGCAGAGCTGATCCAAAGGACGTTATTGTTTGTGGAAAAGCTCCCAGGAACTTCACTACAGCCTGGACCTGTTCTTTAGACCTGCCTGCTGCAAACCAGCTTGTGCTTACGTTTGTAGTGGTGAGTAATCAGACAGGGAGCTTACAAGCTGTGTGAGCCCATGTTTATGTTTTGGCACAATTAGCAATCTCAGCTCGCATTTTTATTTGCTTGGGCCCCTCAGCAGACAGAGGAAGTGCAGAACAGATTCGCTGTGTGTTACACTCTGCTCCAGAAACAGGGAGGAAGAACTTGGGAGAGACCTGCTGCACCCTTCAGACTTCTAAAAAGCAGCTGATCCCTGACACAGAGCTGTTTCTGGGTGGTTCCTAACATGCTGCCCTGTTGGGTTCTTTTTCCTAAATCCCCACTACATCACATTCATACGTTTCTTCTGGGATTTAAAAACAAACACTGAACCTTTTCCGGGATGATATTTCTACCTCCCCCACTACTCTCTGAGCCTTGCTTGCATCATTGCCAACATTTGTTCATTTAAAGCTCAGAAATCTTAGCCCAGTGGAGGGCAGGTGGGATTGGAATCATCCTGCCCTGGGAGGGATGTGTACAAACACTTAGTCCAGGCATCAGGAGCCTCTAGAAGTTGAAGAACTTATTTCAATATAAGATCATTGAACACTGCATGTATCAAACCCTTGTTAGTAAAGACCTGGTAAGAAACATGATTTTGAAGAGCAAGTTGGACTTCCCACAGGGTTGGAGTCCTGAAATGTACTCCAAGGCATCATTCAGCACAAATTCCCCCCAATGCCAGCCCCAGCCAAGTTAACGCATAGAGGCTGCTGATTTGAGAGCCCCAGCCTGAGTCACACACGCTCTGGCTGCCAGACGTGATGACAGCCTGACTCTCCCAGCCACTTCAACTGGAGCAGCAGGTTCTCAGCACTTCTGTGAATCAGGAGCTTTGTTCTTTGGCTCCAGCCACAGAGAGCGGACAGATCAATACATTCACTCACACCCCTGAAATAGTTTTAGTGAAATCTATTTATTACTCATTGTCATTTACAGATCGAGATGTTTGAAGGTGTTACTGTTTGATTAGAGGATCTCTGTGCCATTCTTTCCAGTCTTTGTGAGGGGGCAGGAGGAAAAGGAAGGAAACAAAGAGGAATCCTTCAGGGCTTTGGCCAGCTGAAGTCTGGCATGTTCCAGTGTCTGTTGGTTTAGGTGCCAGCTCAGTAGCACACACCATTCACAGCCTTGCTTACCTGTGCAAACCACTGTGTTCACAGCAAGTGCTGGGTCTCCACATCACACTGAATGTCCAACAAAACCATTCTGATGTGATTTCCAAAGGAACATTTTTAACTATGGCCAAAGATATGTAGCCATGTTGGTTGAGCAGTTTCTTTTCAGTTTCCAAATTCTGTGGTCATTTCTTTTTCTTCTCTCTCACAACAGTGTAGGCCTTTGCTCTGCCTCTTTCCTTATATATAAATCTTAGCCCACTATATCCCAGTCTCCAGCTCCTCCAGATAAAGCTTTTTGCTCCCTCCTGGTAAGACACATCATAGTCAGACAGAAGATTTTGTGGGCTCTTCTTGCTCTTCCATTGCAGTGGAAGCACTTCATCTCTGCTTCACTGGTTTGAGAACTTCCAATCTGGAAGAACTTTATTTCAATCTACTCTGAACCCACCACTGGATATAGGCTGACTCCAGACCCTCATTCAGATGACAATCAAAACTCCTCTTTGCAGATGAACACTTAGAATCCTTTAGGTTTGGGTTGCTCAATTCTTTCCTGTCTTCTCTTCAAGTAGCACAGTGTGGGCAGCCCTTTTGGGGCTTATAGGTATCCTGGCTCCTGGCTTCCCATTCTGGGGGCTCTGCTCACCCTTCTCCAGATGAACAGAGAACACTGAAGATCCAAAATCCCTGCAGGCACTGACATTCCTGGGAATGAGGAGCCAGGGTGGCCTCACCAACTGGTGTGTCCAGGCTCTCAGAACTACAAAGAATGAGTCACAAGAGCTGAGTCCCAATTCTGCCTCTGCCCATGATTCTCTGCATCATCATATTCCCTCTCAGCTTCCTCAGCTAAAAAACAGGAGTCATAATATTTCCTTACCTACAAAAGCTGTTAGGAGGATTATTGCATTGTTGTGAATTCCACAGATGAAAGGTACTACAGAAGAACAAACTGCAATTATTGTTTCAAACCTCTGCCCTAATCCTGTCATCCTTAACTTACTGAATAACACTTACTCAATCGAGGAAATCCTGCCACTACACTGAAGATGATCATTGGAAAAGATGACTCTTTGTTGTAATAAGAGCATTTATCCCCTTGTGTTCAACACCCTTCTGCCTGACACCAGAGTGATCTGAGTCATATAACCTCCCCTTGCGGTGGGGAACTGAGGTTTTGATGGTAGAACAGGCACAGTGAAAATCAGAAGCTTGCAGGAAATATCTATTGTAAAGATCAGAAAAATTGGTATTCCCAGCATTCCCTGATTCCTGCTAAATATTGTTGGGTGCAGTCACACAAGGTACTGAGTGTGGCCCATCCTCCCAAAACTCATCTGTCCCACCAAGTATCTCCTTTTCTCCTTCCATCCCCTCTCGGTTTCAAAACACCCAACACTCCATGAGCAGAGAGGCAAAAAGTGCCAGTGCTTAACAGCTATGGAAACCGCTCTGGTTTTGCACAAATAACACTTTTCTTATTGAAGCCTGTGCACAAAGCTTCTGAGAAGGATGTAGGTGCCACTGGGCATTACAGGTTAAAAGTACTACAACAGCCAGCAATAAATACATGGCAGGTGTTTGTTAACAAGGCACTAATTGGGTAACTGGAGGTGCAGCATAAAAGACCACAGAGGCCAATTGAGAAGCTTTAGGTGAATCTCAGATGTTCCTCTGGGCTTGGGGAATAGGAGGAGGTAGAGTTGCTGTGGGTTTGTGTTTTATGGAAAAGCTGGTGCTAAGGTGTCTCAAAAGAGACAGCCTGTTCTATCTTGTGCATGAAACTGTGTGACAAAATCAGTTCAGAATTTAATTTAAGGATTATGACTCTCTTTTCCTCGGTTGGAGTGCTTTTACTTTGGCTTTGGTAACTTGATCTTAAATTGTTCTGATTAGATTTCACTGTACCTCCTAAGGGGGTTATTCAAACTGAGTCAGCCTGTGCCTGTTTGGCTAAACCATTATCTAAACTCATTGCCTTGCATAAAGAAGGCTTTAGGGATCCCAAAATATGTTTGCTTTCCTAATCCCTTGGAGGATGCAGCAGGGTTCTTCAAGCACAAGTGTGGAGACCTACAGGTAGGTGTGTGAATGACTGCTGTGTTCCAGGTTGAAAGCTGATCGTGGTGACATCTCTGGGGACAGTTTCCCACGTGAATTGTTTTGCCTGCTCAGCCTGCTGCATAATGAACATGACAATTTGGGATGAAACTCTCTTACACCCACCCTGGGTGAGATAAGGCAGGGTAAGGTGTAATTGGAGGCTCCTTTTGGGTTGCAGTTTTGATGTACCCTCCATCATCGTGCTCCTGACAGTGGATTTGCAGCGAGGCTCAAACTCCAGCATGGAACTTATGCACATTCACTGTGAGGTGAGTGTTCTTCTAGCTGGGAGAATTTTTTGCTCTCACAGAGTTTCTGCTCTCTGGATTCTCTTGTCTTTGCCTGTCTGCCTGCGCTCTCTGATTTTTCTCTGCTCTTATGTTCTGTGTCTGTTGCTGAACACTTTGCAATAGGAGACCCCTGTTCAGTTCCTTGTGGCTCTGCTAACAGCATTACATTGCAGCCAACACTTCTTTTGTTGCAGGAGTTTGTCTTTAACTTAAGTATAAATATTTTTAAAACCTGAGCTTTCAGATTATGATTTAGCTGAAAAGGAGTCTTTAGTGTGCATGGAGTCCATTTTTCCAAGTGTTCATAATGAATACTCAGCCCATTTCTCCCTGTTCCCTCCCTTGGAAAGCTTCAGCTGCCAACTTTTCCCAGCCCCCATGCCTTGAGCTGCAGCAGTTTTCATTTAGGGGCTCTTTGGTCATGCTCATGATTTGGTGTCTGTGTATGTTATGGCATTCAGGAATTCCTGCTCTGGTTATCCATATGGATTAGGTACATCCTGGAGCAGGACAGTGCAGTCAGAACTCCTCTGGTTCTCGTCAGCTCTCAAATGCTTGGATACACTTGTGGTCATTTAGATTGCCTTGCAAATGGGTTTAGAGCAGAACAATGGTAAAAAGTGCTCAAAATCCAGTCCTTTCCCCTAGTCCCAGGTGTCTGGTGTTCAGGACATTTGTGGGCAGGCCAGAGCTCAAGTGCTGTTTCAGAGGGATTTCCTCTGGTTTTGGCAATCAAGTTTGTGAACACCCGCTCATGAAGTGTGGTGGTTCTCCTAAAGCAGACCCAGAATTTACCTTTTTCTTACTGCTTGCATGCTTTGTGCTCCTGCAGAGACCATGTGCTCTGGGCATGGAGGGTGGGGGGTGACTTTGGGGTACCTGATGGTCAAGTCAAAAGGGTCAGCTGGCAGGAGGGAAACCCATGTCTCACACACTGACCTGGAGTGGGGTTTGTGTGTCAATGCAGATACACCAAATGCTGCCTTAGTAAGCGTATCCAAGAGTGGTAGAGTTTCTGGTTCCTGAATTTGCACAAGCCTTGGAATTGAGTGCCAAAAAGCCCTTTTTGGGGGGGAGCTTGGCTAAGGCAAGTGTACAATTTTTGTTCCATCCTGAGGCATCTGAAAGCACGGCTAAATGGAATTCTCTTAAGCCTGTACAATCTTTGTGATTATATCTTACCTCTGGAGAAATTTTACTCCCATTGGTTGTGTTTCTCTAAAGCTAATCTTCTGGAAATAAGGCCTTTTAGTAAAACTGCCTTCACCTTATGGTTACAATAAACTGACTTATTAATTGGCATCAGCATGTGGCTCTCTGAACCAGCAGCGTGGCAGCCTCTGCTGGCACACGTGTCCACAGAGAAATCCCCTCGCTGTGCCTTATTCCATCTTGGCACTCAAATGTTCCCATCATTTATTTTCTAATAGTTCTCTTATTTATTTTTTTTTCTGCAGCAATTCAAGCCTATTTTGGCTTCTAACAATTTTTTGTTTCAACTTGTGTTTGCAGTTGTGGATTTGCTTTAGGACATGGGCTGTGTGGGTCTGTTACTTGGAAGTGTTTTTAACAGCGCTGATGTTTGTTGATGCTTTTATGGTGGTGTGCTGGTAAAATTCACATTGTTTTTATTGTATACATTAGATTAATTTCTGTTGTTTTCAGCAGTTGACAATGTTATGAAATGCACCAACCAGTGCAAACTACATCGGGCTGTAGGCTTTCTCGATGGATTTTTTTTGGCCGCTCACTACTCCAGCGTGCATCGGCGGCGGGCTATTTTTATTGCGGCTCGTATTAGTTGTTGCGTAATAAACGCGAGAGCGCATTACCCAATGCAAACCGCGATTAAAAAAAAAACAAAACCAAAACAACACACACACACACAAAAAAAGGGGGGCGAGAGCAGTTGTGATTTCCAGCTCGGCCTCCCGTAGCACGCGTGGATCCCACGCGTGTTTCCAGCTGCACTTTTCAGGCTCTGCTCGCACCTCGGCAGGCGCGACGCGGGCGGAGGGGGGAAGCCGGGATTTTCCCCGGCCATGTCTGCCCGGGGACACCCGCCCGCCGCCACCTCCTCACGGCTCCGTGTCGCCGTTCCCCCGCCCCGAGCCCCGCCGGCCGCTTCCCCCGCTGGGGACACCGCGTTGGGCGGCCCCGCCGCCCGCTGACCGGGGCATCACCCCTGCCGTTCCCGTCCCCTGCCCGCCGCTCCGGGGAGGGCG